GACACCATCAAAACATAACCGGCACACCGTCACAACATGAGCGAGACACCATCACAACATGACTGGGACACCGTCACAACATGACTGGGACACAATCACAACATGACCGGGACACCATCACAAGGTGACCGGGACACCAACATGACATGACGGGAAAACCATCACAAGATGACCAGGACACCATCACAACATGACCGGGACACCATCACAAGGTGACCGGGACACCATCACAACATGACCGGGACACCGTCACAACACGACCGGGACACCATCAAAACATGACCGGGACACTATCACAACATGACCGGGACACCATCAAAACATGACCGGGACACCATCAAAACAGGACCGGGACACCATCACAACATGACTGGGACACAATCAAAACATGATCGGGACACCATCACAACATGACCGCGCCACCATCACATGATCGGGACACCATCAAAACATGACCGGGACACCTTCAAAACATGACCGGGACACCATCACAACATGACCGGGACACCATCAAAACATGACCGGGACACCATCAAAACAGGACCGGGACACCATCACAACATGAGTGGGTCACAATCAAAACATGATCGGGACGCCATCAAAACATGACCGGGACACCAGCATCACATGACCCGGACGCCATCAAAACATGACCGGGACACCATCCGCCCACCAGCTCTGACGGTGACCCGACGGCGCCCGTCCGCCTATTAGTTTTGCAAGACCCCATAGCATGGCTATTGGGGAACAAAAAAGAAGCACACTCCTATGGATCAAACAACATCCCGAGAAGGTGACCTAAGCAAAAAACAAAAAACATTCATCACATGCGAGATCGCAGTCATCCACATGAGAATGTCTAATAGGAAAATTCGAGGTAACAAATAAGAAGAGGCAAAAGAAGAACGCACCATTCAAAGTAAGTACAGGTCGGGAGAATCATGTCTATATATATAAGAGGGAACGTCTGTCGGTCCAGGTACATCCATCTTGTGAAGTTCGTAGCTTTTACGAAAGCCAATGGTCAGCAGAACCGGTCTCTAGGCTTCAGCAGCCTCCGGCGAGGGGAGAAAAGAAGCTGCAAAGGTTCCCTCAAAGAGTCTACGACGTCTCGGGCTCAGCCGGCAGACTCTCCAGAAGCCGAACGATGAGATCCTCCCGTCTCGGGCTCCAACTAGCTGCTGAGAAGATGGTTGGTGTGGGGTGCCAGGGGGGTCTAACCACCTTACCTGAGGATGTAGGTTGGAGCTCTAGGGCCCTAGGGCCCTCTTGGGATCCACTGCCACCGAACCTCAGCTTCGGTACTTTCCTGGATCCGAACCTGGCGCCTACATCCTAGGGTCGGGTCGAACACATCAACCTCAAAAGAGGGTGGCAGTGGATCCATAAAGGTTATAAGGACCTGATACCAAGAAAAAGCCATCTTCTCTTCACGTGGGGAGTCTGGTTTGCCCCTGCGTGTTAGTTGTATTCCAAAACCTATGTCAATCTATGCCAGGGGTCTCGATTGAACGTGTCTTTGGACCAAAATGGGGAGACCCCAGCTAGAGAGGCTGGCGCCAGGAGCGTCCTCATGTTCCTATAGCTGGCTAGTGCCAGGAGCTACTAGAAGCGATGCCCTTGTTACTAGCTTGTCTTAGCTTCTTAGCTTCCTACAAGCATCTCTGGCCAGCTGAAAATCAAGGAATCCCAATCCTTATACACTTCTGCTAGTTGAACACCAAACAGCCGATCTGAGTTCCTCCTGCCGGCAGGGTTTTAAGGTACCCAAATCCACAGGCGAAAGGACATGACTCGGTTATATCGTTTACTTGGATTTGCTTGAGGAAGCGGGCCAAAACAATCCAACAACACTAATAAGCACAAACAATTAAGAATCACACATGGCAAACATAACATCTGCTGCGCTGCTATCAAACCCCTGGCAGCTCAGCGCTGATCAAAGCTCTGCCGCGCTCTGCGCCGTCGGGACTCTTCGAGGCATCAAGATCGATCTCGATCGATGAGAAATCCGCTTGAATTCGGCCAAAATCTTCGTGAACATTCCGCAAAGTACCATTGAGCATCAATGTCTCAGAAAACATACGTCACCCGTCGAGTCTCAAGAGGTCTCCATGATTTGGTTTGGGGATGAAGCAGCTGGTCACATTGCATTTCATGAAGGGCGCGGAACTGTGAGTTGTGTGGAACTTTTGGGCGCCACTTGTTTCTTACATCTCCTCGGCGCTACAGGTTCAGCGAAACGGACACCGCGGGAAACTCCCATGGTCGCTTTCCATCACGGTTCCACCCCCGTGCTTAGCGACCGGGGCGCGCTGAGTCCCTCCCTCCGGCCAGCAACAGCTCGTTAATCACCAAGTCTTTGAACTTTGTTGTTTTGCAGTGCTGAAGTGGCTGTGGCAGGACTGAAGTCCAGCGAAGCCTGAAACTGAGTACTAAGTTGCTCACAGAAGGCTGTGCTCAGTCAATGGTTGTCATGTTTAATGTAGACTTGGAAGAACACATATATAAGTGCCGTGGAACCACAGCAAATTGAAAAGGACACTAGAAAACAAGGTCGTTCTGCACTTCAGTAGGAGTGTATTTTGTGGCGGATGATGGCTGAATGCTCACATGTTCCAACGAAGATCTGTGGCTGGAAACTTGAATTCGGGCCGAGAAAGCCTCCGGGCCGGTCGCAGGCCGAAAAAGAACAAAAACAATCGATGGGACAGTTGCGGGCTACAAATTCTTGATGAAAGGTGATTTAATGATGGTGAACAAACGCTCAAACACTACGGTTCAGTATTTTCTGGTGACAATCATGAGTAGCTTCACACACAAAAAAATGCATAAACATGTTGATAACTGTTCATATTATGAAACAAACTTATCACTTCTGGCCTGCGGCACAAACAAACCGACCTGGGTGGCCAAAATCATGTCCGGACCTCCGGAAAAAAGAGGAGCTCTGCATGTCAGCCAGTCACTTGCTAACAGCTCCGCCAGCTGAGACTAACAAAGCAAGTGAAGCTGAGAACGAATTACCTCATCCCACCACTGGCCGATCTTGATCCCAAAATGAGTAGAGAGGGAGTGGAGTGGAGCTTCCAACATCTTCCAACTTTGCTCTGGGCATCTGGACAGAGATTCTTGATAATTAATTGAAAAACAAAAACATACCAGCAGTCACAAAGGGGTGCTATCCATGGGGGTTAGGGGTGCCCATTATCTACTCACTTGGGGACCGAACACCACCCCTTTGTGATTTGTGGTAGATTGTATAACGGAGCTTTTACACTCCAACAGGTGACGTTGTCCAATCATTCCGCACCGACCGGAGTTGGAGACAGAGACGCACCGACCCATGACGCTGTTCTCATGAGCCGCTCAGACGCGAAGAAATGACACCAGCCCGAAGAGATGAAGAACTCCGCGGCGAGGCACTCGGCGCTCGACCAGGGAGCGGCCCGGGCGAGTCGGCACGGGACCGTGGAGATTTGGCCTGGCCGATCTTGTGCGATGTCATGCGGTGTCTGGCACGGTGTCGTAAAAGGTGTGGGTTTGGCAGTGATGGTGTGCATTTAGGGATGGAAAAACAATAACACAATGCTGGGTTTAAGGATATTTAAGGTGCAATTCTGAAGATGGAAAGGAGAATCTGCCCACAGACTCTTAAGTGCTGGGAGTGTGGACGAGTTTGCGGAAGAAGACAGCCCTTGCTGAGACATCTTCGGCTCAAATAGCTGATGTCGGCTCGTTTCGTGCATCCTGCCCGTTCTTCGGGTGGCATGTTTCTCCTCCTCTGCGTGAGCACAATCGATGGGACCAAACGGTATTTGCGCAAGATTCAAAAGATCGTAGTTGATTGAAGGAACACATCATGCACCATCATGCACCAAAACAAAAAAAACACTTGATCCCCCATCTCGTGGTGCCAAAGTCCTTCTCCACTTCACCTGGTCGAACGAACGAACCCGAAAGAACGTCCCAAACACCTTCTCTGTGTCCCCAAGAGTCGGACCGTCTCCACCGCCCTTTTGTATAGTGAACCATGGCATCCATCGCACCTCTACATCGTTCACTTGGATCAACTTGGCACCCAAACTGATACCGTTGATACGATCAAACTTGCACCAGTGCTCCGCAGGGGTCGAGCAGTGCTCCGACTTGCGCACCTCTGACTCCCGGGATCTCAAGGATCCCCATTCCACACTCTGCCTGCGGGGAGTTCCACCCAGCGGCGGAGTTGGTGTTCGCCACGAATGGAAGTGGTGTGAGGGAATCCATCAAAAATCCATGGAATTTCCATCAAAAAGTGTGGGTCACTTGAATGTTAGGAGTATTCACATGGCTGTGGGTCGAAACCCGGCTCCCTACGTTGACCTCCTGATCCGGAGGTCTATGATCCGGAGTTCTGATCCGGAGGTCTGGAACGGCAGGTATGTTCCGGAGGTCTGGAATGAATTCAATCTTTGTACTTAGTACTGATCACATATACATGTACGTTTGATGCAGTTGCACTCCGTGGAGAAAGCAAACCCTGCACGCGTGAGGAAAAGAGAAGGCTCCCCTTTACATCCGACATTGCACAATGATCCCCTTCGTTGATACACGTGGGGAAGGGCTCAAAATGAGCTCGAGCAGGTCTGGAACGGGTATGGAACGGTCTGGAACGAGGTCTGGAACGAAAACGCACATGTCTGACAGAGTTCTTCCAATCCACCAAGCCCACTCGACTCAGTCATATTTCGGCCTCGGAGAGGGGGTCCGGGGCGGAAAAGATCGCATCTGAAGCGTATGTCGACATAAATGGCCCAAAATACCCCCAGCATGGCTTCAAGCAAGACCGCGACACCCAGCGAGAGCGAGAGAGAGAGAAAGAGACAGAGACGGCTCTCCCGACCTTCGGTGTATCTTACAGTCACCCGGGCGGTAAGCCCCCTTCCACATTGAAGGATGCTGCCAGGATGCCCGAAGTCCCGGCCCCCCTCGCCTCATGTCTCTTGCCTCTATCCCCTCTACCGTCTTGCTTTCTCCCTGTGTTGGGCCGGCGCCCGGCTGTCAGGCGTAAGCCGTTAAATTCAAACACCGCATCGAGTTATCTTAGCGGTCTTAGCATCTTTCCAAAAATCCAGGAATACCAAAAGGGAACCAATACAAAACCAAATCTAGTCTATATATATATAATGTAAATACTTAGTAATTAAGAATATGTTTTTTGAACAAATACTAGGGCGTGACTAGGCCCAGGCTGCTAGTTACTAGGGCGCGACTAGGCTACTAAGCCTGCTTCAGACTGTGCCCTGGCCCATCAACTACTTCATCAAGACAATTATAAATAGATTAAGGTATAGAACATAGCTATGGAACAAGGGTCTGGAACGCAAGTATGGAACAAGGTCTGGAACAAAGGTCTGGATCGTGGTCTGGAACGAAGGTCTGGATCGTGGTCTGGAACGAAAGGTCAACCCGCCAATGATCCATACCAAAACATTTTGACTCATTGCCACATGAAACATGCGAGTTCCGCTTCTCTAGATTGTTTCGGCTGCGAAGTTTTTAGGATTTCTCGGTGCGGTGAAAGTGAAAGCGGAAGTTAAGCCGATCAGGATCATGCCTTATCAATCTTTTTGCTTAGAGTATAGTTACAAAAATGGTTATATGGATTATATCTGTTCCTGTGCTCTTCAGTGCATTGGTTAGTTTGGTGTCATGAATTTGATTATACACATCGCACAAAAAAACACTCCCACATGCGAATCATAAAACTGAAGCCTGCCTCAGCCAAGGGGATCTCCACCCAGCTCCCCTTCCCCCCTGGTCACCCCAAACCCTCCACCTAGCTCCCCCCGGACACTCTCCCGCGCCCCACCGATCCACCCAAAGCCCATGCTGCGCCTCATGCTCAAGGAGTGCGCGAAGCGCTGCTCCAGGAACTGCCCTGCGGCACCGTAACCCCACTGCTCCGTCTCCGCCTCGCGCGTCGCGAGTGCGGCGAGTCGCAGCGCCCTGCTGCGAGGCCAGGCACCCTGCCTGGTGGTTCATGACCGAGGGTATCCCCTGTATTCATCAACTAACCGTACAAGGCCATTCCCGCGCGCGGGCGTGCGTGGCCCGGGCTCAGGGTGAGAATCCGTGCGGGCAAAGGTTGTGCCTTCACAAGGCTGTGAGTGAATGAGTGGCGCACCCTGTTGCTCTTAGCTACTGAGTCACAGCACAAGTCAAAAACATGAAAAGAACACATCAGCATTGAGCGACACTATCACTCGAAGTTTTATGAAGCAAGAGTTATCTTCAACTAGATAGATACAGTAAAAACAAAGCGCTCAAACAAGCCATGGGACATATTGCAGCAATTGAATGCTTCATGCTCATCGATGTGACACTGTGAAACATGTATCTTCAGTGCAAACACTTTCAGATTAGGAAAAATTAACATATGGAACCTGAAAATGAACCTTTGGAAGACTCTACAACCCAGTGGTTTTCAAGTTCATGTAAATCTTCCAGGGCGTGTCGTTGCTTCTTGAGTTCCGGAAGACCTGTCCTCTGTCAGACCGTGGTCCCGATGACTTCCACCCATGTGAGTTGACAAGCTTTTTTGCTCAACACCTGTTCCCCAAACGACTCACATGGGAAACGTGGAGTGAGTTCACCGTCTCTTTGGTCTTCGGATTTCATGGTCAGCTATCCGCTTCATGATTCCTTCAGGAAGTGTACTCGGTCTGAACCACCATGCGCTCGTGGCGCCAACTCCCTCTCCACCGCCCCAGGGCGACCGACCGCACCCGTGCACCTCGGCATCTCCCCCAGAGAGTGTCAACAAGCTATCCACCTGTGGAGACGGAGATCGGTCTTGCACGGCTGGCTTTGGCAGCATTTCTCCGTCTGGGAGACGTTTCCACCACCATTTCAAGCGCAACATGTTCGGAACACGAAGTTCAGATAATGCGTTGTACACCAGTCAGCATACCATGTAGCCTTTCGTTGTCAGGATGTCATCAGGTAGGCCTTTTGAACTCTTCTCTGATCCAACCACCTCCCCCACTCTCAAGGTATAATTGGACTCTCCAAAACCACGCTGTTTGAGGCTGTTTCGAGACCAAGCCCACCAAAAACATGGCGCAGTGGCCATTTCGTGTGCCCGGCCATGAATCAGTGACTGATGTGGTATCCAATTAGCCAATTCATGATTTAGTCCATTAGCAACCTGACCACGTGAAGAGGGAGTTCTATCTTCTGTTCCTTTGTGTTTGCACATTAATAACATATTCTGGCAGTCGAGTTATAGATGCAACATAAGGCTACTTCTCCAGACTCTCAGGAATTGTGACGAGCTCGAAGGACCTCAGCTACGAGTAGATCGGCCACCTCTCCCAAACCAAAGTCAGTGCATAGTTCTTGCCATCTGTCAACCCAGTTTTCTCATCCACCATTGGTCGCCCGGTCTGGGCAACCGGCACGACTGCTCCCTCCATCTTTGGGGCTCGGCAAAATGCGGATTCTGAAAACAGGTATGTTTGAAGGATGCCTGAATGCCTGACCACATCACTGACCATGGCAAGCGACCATGCAAACCTTTCTGGCCGATGACCACAACATTCGTGCGCGCCTTGCAATTCAGCCGTGCGGTGTGCGCCAAGACCAATGCCAGATCAACACCTCAGTGGCTTTTGGGGGAAATGCGACCGTTGGCAGCTGTCTTGTAGCGTGTGTAGGTGTATATGTCAGCACCCTCATCTAGCAAGCGTAGCAAGTAGACAGCAAAACATGAACCCATGGAACAAGTGACTCAAGTGAGAGATTATGTGATCGTCGTCAAGCGCATGCGCGTCGCGCACTTCGTGAACATGGAATGCTCCTATCTCTTTAGACGCGTCGACAAAGGAAAGAAATCCTGATGTTTTCGTCCAGTCGCTTTTGGCCGTAACTACTAGTAACAAGGGTATCGCTACTAGGAGCTAGAAGCTACTAGTCGTAGCTCCTGGCATTACTACTAGTAGCAAGAACGCTACTATAGCAGCTTCTTGTTAGTAATGCCAGGAGCTACGACTAGTAACTAGTAGCGTCCTTTCGCCGAGTCGCTTTTGGCCGGACCCTTCAACCGTTGACAACCCGCCATGAAGTCCTCCAAGGAGACCTGCCACGGTTTCAACCGGTGTTCATCGGTTTCAACGGGACCTGGGACGGCGGACGGCTGGACATGGGGAGGGTCCTGACACATCGGTTTTAACATGTGAAAAGGGTCATGTCGCTGAAAACAAGGGGGGCCACCCGCATCAAGCATTGAAGGGGCGTCACCAAATGTGAGGCTGCTACAAAAGGCTGTTACCAAAGGCTTAGGAATCAGTCAGTGTGTTTCTGAAGCTATGTCTACTGTGAGTTGGTCTGGATTTCAGCATCGGACCAAAACACAGGCCACGCGGACGTGTCCCGTGTCATCCACATCGATCCTCACTGTGCATCGGTCAGACGACAATGGGTCGTGAAGGGCAGGATAATAGCAGTCAGGCATCAATAGGGAGACCTTCTATATAGGCAGTAGATCTGGGAAAATAGGCCTAGGGGTCTCCCCCCTATAATATTATGTCCACTATATTACCCTATGGATCCACAAACCTTCTCAGAAGGTATTTGGGCTCTCCTGGCGCCTGAGACCCCTAAGAACCCACCTGGTAGACTGCTCCACTGGTCCCGAACCGAATCCAGGGGTGTCGTTGCCACGCGGACAGGGCGGTGTCGGTCTCCCTTTTGTACTACGCGCCCTGCGCGCGCGCCCAAGCCGGTTCCAGGTACAGTTGAATGGCAAGGTGAACTGGGTATCAAAGATTTCATGCAGCACGTACGACCACCCACCTACCCAAAGAGATGAAGTGACCCGATAAAGGACCCGGAAAACCTGGCGTACCCAACTGGGATAGTCTATACCAGGGCCTGATAGAGGGGGTGGGAGACATGGACACCCCGAATCACAGCTACAAAAAAGGGGCTATAGACACCCTGACAGTGTCGGGTCCTGGTATAGATGTCTTCAGAATTCTTCAACCTCTCTTGGCAGACTCACATGGTAGACTCACACCGATGCTTTGGACTAGACCAAAACAGCTCCCGAAAAGCCGAAACGGAGAGAACGAAGGAACTGTTCTTGTGAAACGTGGGGCATCCCCAATTCCCCCCCCGAAAAAAAAAGGATGAATGTTGCAGGTGATCCACGTACTTCCTGGGTAGGGATAGAAAAGGATTCACTGGCTGCGCAGCCAGTGGTGCATCCGAATGATAGATACATCGGTGCATGACCTTCGCCGAAATGTGCATGCCTTTTTGTGCAGTTTGTGGCTATGCTGCTTGAAAAGGAGCCACCTAAATACTGTATACCTCACCAACCCAACGTTGCATGCTGTTCTTGTGTTCTTTACTCTTCCCATGCCTGGAAGCCTGGAAGAACATGTGTTCTGTTCGGGACCCGCACCTCGGTCGTGGGACGCTGTATAAACGGGCGTAACGGCGTATGGGCGGATACGAGATCCGAGCAGCAGTTTGAAGAGGCTCAAGAGATCCGTCGACTCCAATTCCAACTTGGTCATAAAGTGCGACCTGAGGAACAACGAGCGACCGGAGGTCCGATCGCTGAGAACATGAGAGATCCTGCATCTGATCCCCAGCAGAGCGACCAAGTCTGCATCTCTTTGGAAGACGGGACGATGATCACCCCTTTGAAGCCAGGTCAGGTGATCGTGATTATATGAGCCAGTGTCATTGGATGTCATTCAAAAAGCCATGGAAGTACCGCACATGAACCGTCACATCCATTGGCCAACTCTGAGCGACCCGGTAGGCCTTCTCTTGGGCGACTCGGTGCAAAGCCTTCGTTTGGTGCGACCGACCCCCCTTCTGCGCAGTTGTTTGGGTTCCAAAAACGGTGTCCAAACAGGCGGCATGGTCGGCGTGTTCAGGATCTCCACAAACTCATCCATGAAGATCACCCCTTCACCTGCGACGCTGCGCGCGAGCTCCCAGAACACACCGAGGAGGTCGACATGGAGCTGGGCACAAAGGGAGCTCCACAAGCGGGTAAGACAAACATACCCGAGTTTAAAAATAAGTTTCTTTGATCCTGCACTCAGTGACTGTAGGATTTGTGTACAAAATCCCAGCCAATGTCTTTGAGACAATGCCAAACAGGACAAATGTATCAAGGACTTTGCCAAGCAGCCCGAAGTATCCAGCTTGGTGAACCTTGGGTTTTCATGGGAGAGGGCACACGGTATGTGACGCATCAATCACGTGACATATCATGGACCAAGGAGACAAGTGGATCTTCTTGGCGTCCTATGCTTTTTTGAAGGCTATCACCTCCCCCCCTCCAATAGAACATATAACAACAAACAAAGAAAGCTCAACTTTCCTGGGCTCAAGAAACCTGCGCTTCGTCGAAAAAAAAAAAAAAAACACTGAATCGATCGGTCAAACCTTCGATCCAACACATTGAGCTGTTTTGAGCCGATGAAGTGCCTTCGGATCTCTAGGGTGTCTCGGCGGCCCCTGCGGAACATGCCAGGTGATCTGATGAGCCGGGTGAATACAATTTGTTCGTAATTGAATCGCGCGACCCGCGTGAACAAAAAAAACAAAGGGTAGAACACGGTGATGTTCCTTCTTCGTTGCCTGGGTGGTGAAATACACCCCAACTGCTGTGATTTTCTTACAGGAGAATTGTTTCTTTACTTTGTTGTCTTCTTTCTTCATCACCGCCTTGAACAGCGACCCAATGTCCAGAAAGTATTATCAATTCCTCAAGCACCAAATACTGACTGGTGCGACTTGCAGGGAATGAGGGAATAGATCCTAGTCCTGAGGTATCCATTCTTGTCGGGGGTCATTCCCTAAATTCTCTACGAGCCGCACCAGTCAGAATAGAGCCAACTCACACATTACCATTTTCAAATGAGTTAACTCGTTTTTCACGCCCTGCGCTCGAGCTAACGCCACGAGCTAACATACTAAAGCAACACGCATGTTCACGATCTTTTGGCCGCATGGTCGGCATCCGGGCGGAAAGGAAGGACCTCCGGCCCACACTCCCAACTGGCTGTGAAATCCTTTTTACATCTGTAGACCAGTCTACCCAACCAAGGGTTCTTGGGGTCTCCTAAGACAACCTACCCCAAGTATCATCCAGATCTAGGTGTTTCTTACTCTATCCATCTCTATCCAGTCTATAACTACTCCAAAGATCATCAAAGATCTCTCCAAATAGATAGAAATTATCCTGCAGATATCATGGTGTTTCAGCTCCCAAGGAATCAGTATTATCGTGTTCCCAAGGAACCAGTAGTATCTCTATCCAGTCTATAACTACTCTATCCAGTCTAACTGCTCCTAAGGAACACATCTTTGATCTTTCGAGCATAGGCTTCCGCGTTGCGCGTCTGCTGCTGCATGAAGAGCTCGTGATCATCGGCAGCCACCTTCCTTAGACGAAAAACACGGTCGGATGAGAAGACCCTTAGACTCGACACAGGGTGGGCTAGGACAAAATGAAAAAACATGGAGAACGATGGTGTGATATGTTGGTGCTTTCGAAATGATATGGCGACTCCTCCTTAGGTCCTGGACGACGGAAAGAGGTACTGGTAAGGACTCATCGCCCCAGCTCCGAGTCCTACTGAGGAGTCACACCAGGTGCAAGGCCAAGGTCAGGCATTTCTAGAGGGCTGAAGAGTCGGTAGCTCCTCAGAAGGTATTTCGGCCCAAACTTGAAACCGCAAACACCTTCTTAGAAGGTACGACTAGAACCCACACGGATTTGAACAAAACTAAGTCTCTTCTTCCAGCGCCACCGAGAACTTTTTGACAATCCATCATTTCCCGACAAATGGCGGCATTTCAGATGTAGAGTGAAGATCATGAAGGACCGTTGGAACTCCAAGAGAAATCATAGCGCTTAAGACTCCTAGCGCAACCCGGTAGACCGAAAAAGCTTCACCCATGCTCCACAGGATCCACACTGGCCATCCGGAAAAGGTTTTTCCCAAGTCCAAGTCACATGGTCTGTTGAACAAACACCTCGGGCCGCGCGATCTGCGCACCATCTGCGCACCGGATCTTTTAGCGTCTCCCGGTCCAAAAGAACACCCGGCACAGGTCACATGTCTCGTCAGGTTGGAGGTCACACGTCTCCGGCGAAGAATAAGGATCGAAACTTGAGAACGGCAGCGGCTAGTGGATGTCCGATCCCCAACACTCCATGTGACTGGCATATTTATACCTACATTGGGGTGCTTGATCTGTAAACATGCCATACATGGAGTATCAGCATCTGGGTATAGGTTGGATCCATCCGATCTAACCAGGGCCCAGTGGATGATGATGGGGCCTGGTTGCAGGCCTTTCCATTTCTATATTAATGATGAGCTTGTTTACAGACTGCAAACCCAACCATTTGGATCTTGTGACTCCAGGCGAGTTTGCTTCAGTGCTTCCTCTTCAGTGCTGCATGGCGCAAACTGTGCCGTTCTCCCACCCTCTGGCTTCGAATGGTTCCCCTCATGACAACCCGACTCCAGTTCTAGTGGATAACTCCCGGATGGACGACCATTGCATCGGCCACCACGCATCGGCCACCATGCAACACACACATGGGCCACCACGCATCGGACCATCAGGTGATCTATATGGACCCCCCTGGCCGACCTTCCAAGCGAAGGAAGAACCATCCGGGACCGGACCTTCCCTGGTTGGATCGTGGATCCGGGATCAGGTCTGATCGTCCTTCTCTCGTAGTTCGCCCTGATCGTACAGTTGGGAGCTCAGGACATGTGGGCCGGGAATCCCGAATGTCATCGGGATTGGCTCAGGAATGCAGAAACATGGCCTGTACTGTCGGGTACGGCAAAGTCTGCATCTTTCGCCTGTGGCACAACATGTGTCGGAAAAAAACAACAACAACACATCTTAAGTCAACAAATGATCTGTCAAGACCTTGACTCATACGTAGCCCACATCGAATCAACATCCGAGGGGCTGCACCGATGACATTTAGAACGCAGAATCCTTGGCTGACGCGCCACGCAATAGCGCCACGCGATGCCACGCGTGGACTGGAAACAGATTGGATGATGGCGGAGGAGCACGCGGAATGTGCATGCTGAATCACTGAAAACAGCCCTTCGTCGACGTGGAAGCACGAAACATATTTGGTCGGTGAAGAGTCCTGAGAGAGACAATCAAGCGCGACGGGCTCCAGGATGCTTTCCTTAAGCTTTACAAATAGCTAAGGCCATCTAAGGCCCATATGCATTCCTGGGGTTGTGACACGGTAGAATGGAAACTGGACACATTGCATAGGAACAGCTCCATGTGCCATGTGTTGTTAGCGCGGTAAGTAACTGTACTATACCCACCTCCAATCACACCGCCCTCATCATGAGTTACACAAACGACCAAAACTTGGCAGATATCAAATGCTGCTTTGCCTATCAAACGATTCATCCTGATCTGTGGGCTGTTCTGCCTATCATAAACCTATTGAGGGAGGAAAGTCTAGCTGAGCTTGCTTGAACATGGCGACAGGACTCTCCCGTATTGCTGACAGGACTCCCACGACACAGCGGTAGATGATGAAGTACAAGGAGAACCACTCATCAACATAGTCCACCAACAATCTACCTTGAGACGTAAGGCTGGAAAAAGTTTCCGAAGAAAAACATCAACCAACCCACAAACAAAAGCAGGAACACCACAACGCCGCTGGTTTGCACACCATGACCATCCAGGTCGCTTCGATCCAGGTGGCAGTTTCTCGCCTATTTTTTGCAAACACAGAACAGATTCTGTTTGGGCTCCTGTCCCGTTTTTCCTCAGGTTCGGTGACTCTAGATCCCCCACCCCACCTGCCAAACATCGAACCGATTGCCGGAATTAGGCGGCCGAACGGAGCCGGAGAGAAGCACAAAGAGCAGAAGAAAAACAGCAGAACTATGAACAACTCATTCTCGGTACCACCTGGAAAGGAAAGGTGCTGCCATGACTGGACGATGCCACCTGGACGCTTGGTCAAAAACCCACCCACCCCCAAATATAGAGCGTGTTTAAACGTTAAACAGATCGAAACTGGACATGGTCACCAAACCTGAAGCAATTTGGAATCACAGGGATAAAGATCTGACTAATAAGGTTTTATCTGCCTAAGAGCCCTTCCGGTTCCGTCTCTATATTAGGAATTGTGTTTTCATCAGACTTTTCAAGTTGGAGGCTATTACGTTTTTACATGGGAACTGGAAGGTTAGGGGTTCATGGTGCCGAAGCCCCAACGTTGAGTGGATCAATTCACCAGCCTCTTCAGTTCCCTTCGACCAAGCCTCCCAAAACCTCCGTGGTTGTCATGTTTCTTTTGACCAACCCTCCTGTCGCCTCTGGTCATCATGTCATCTTTATGATAATGGTAGTGATAATGGTCAACATATGGTCAACATTGGTCAACACAGCATCTGTCAACATCCAAAAGCCTTCACCCACCACTAAGACCCACCACACACCTCCAATCCCCTGTGGCCGCCATGTGCCACACCGTGCACGCGGGTCAACATGCACACCAAGAGGCATGGGATGGGCCAGTTGGCAAAGATCACCTCCTATGGATGTTGGATAATATCGGCAGGGGGTTGCACGTTTTGCAAGACCAATAGTGGCTTGAGGTGGGTCGAGTATTTAGAGCCTTGCAGGAACCTTGGGCCTCAAAATGGCCAACTGGGCAAGCTGACTCTGTTTTTTGAATGAGGGCAAATCATGGAGTGACTCATGGAGTGTCGTGCTGAAACTGCAATCGCACGTTGCCAAAAACAAGGCAAGAGAAAGACCGTCAAATCACAACCCAAGACCGACGTATATGCAGTGTATGCAAGCACTGCCCTAGCAGGGGCATTGCCCAATCTCTTGAAAACAGAAAACATTCAGGAACCATTCCAAAAGACATATTCTACAGATTTCTACAGGATTCCAACGTGACTTGCGATCAGTCCAAGCCACATATTGATTTGTATAACCTGCAGTATATAGGCCGAAAAGAACTTAATTCAATCGAATATCACATCAGTCAAGGTCATTGCTGGGTTCTGGGAGGAATAGTCGGAACAGCGAGCTTCAAACATCGTGAGGATGGTGTAGGTGAAGGTGCCGTAATACCTCAGATGTTCGTCGTTTCTTTGATTCGTCAGGCACCTTGTGACTGGTACCGGTCGATTGGACGGTAAGACCCGACCAACCTCCGTGCGTTGTTGCCGTCAGGTACATCACGAGGTGCTGGGAAGTCCTTTTCATAGATGGCCTCCAACCTAAGAGCCTTGGCCTCCACCCTACATAGCGATGGCCGGAGCCGGGATGGCTATCCGGGATGGCTATCCCTACGTGTCGGTCAACAATCGAGTATCCTTCCTGGAAGTGCCTTTCGTCGGGACATGTCGTGACGGCCATGCCGGCCACGTTCGACTCCGCAGAATTAATCCAGGTGCCGATAGATCTGTCGTCGGACATCGTCAGGGGTGCCCTCCTTCTCTAAGAAGTCCATGACCAGGTAGCCAACGAACATTCCTAGCAGTGATGTCAGAGATACATGAGAAAAAATAAGAGAGACAATGAGATGAGCGACGTGATGATTGAGAATACATGAGTCAGGAATTGGGAGAGATGAGGTCGCGAGAGAGAGGAGATGTGGTGTCCTTAGTGTTTTTGTGCACCTGTATGGTTTGGATATGTTTGTATACGTTTGCATGTTGCACTCAATCAGTCTTCCGATACATGAATTCAAACAAAAATATGTAACACAACCGCTTCAATGAATGAAACCCACCAGGTCATGTGTCAAACCCACCCCTCTGGCGTATGGCGATCATGTCCTCGCGGTTCGCTCTAAAACGACGACTCCCCTTCGTTCGTGATGAAAAGAGTAGATGGCGCAATCCCCGCAGGTTTGGTGTTTGATATCCATCTAAACTCATAGAAAGACTGAGCCATCTCAGTGGCTTCCGACCCTCCGAAGGACCGGTCCGGCCATGTGAGGAAGGACCAGTCCGGTGTTCTCCGCGTTCCAGACCAGCGGGCTGTCCGCGCGGAGGCGGAAACCGCTGCGGCGTCCGGAAGAAACGAAAAAGAACACATCCTAAGTGGGACTCCTGTCCTCAACCAGTCTATCTGTTTAATATATTTATTATACTATATTCTATAATACTATATATATAAATACTAATATATTATATTCAGAGCTGCCTGAATCTCTTCTTTCTGGGGTTTCTTGGGCTCATGTTCCCGTCATGGGTTGGAGATTCTCATTAAAACCAGTACTCATATCAACCAACCTCACTCTGTCCCAATGCTTCAACGCGAGATGGATCGTCCTGCTGTGCATTGGATCACGGCTAGAAGCAGCATCGACCAAAGAAGCATCGAGACGCTGGCACCAATATTTTTAAGCCTCGCAACCGTTTCCGCAATGAGATCCGATCCCCAGAGTGAGGGTTTACCTATGTTGATGTGTTTTTTTTCTGCGGCCACCAAAGGACCAAACGGTACAAACCGCTTGGGGGCCTCAGCTCCTGGCCATGACGCATGACGGTGATGTCCGATTCAAGGAATCCACACCTACAAATGGGGTGTATGTCTCCCGTGGTTCCAATGATGATTCTCCCGACGTTCCCAGGAGATCCAACGTTCCGAGTCCCAAACTGAACTCTGAACCCCATGTTTCTTTCATGTTCTTTCGTTAAAAAATAAAAAAACATGCAGCTAGTTTCCCTCTGTCAAGAAGGAGACTGACATCGTCCCATGGTCTGGGGAATGACCTGGGTCTGAGAACATGTTGTCGCTATTTATCGTGTTTGCAGCTATTCTTCGAAAGGTCACAGAATCTGATTCGATTCTGAAAGGGATTCGATTCATTTCTGGTCCAAGAGTCCAAGATTATGAAAAACGATCTGAAGCTTCCCATCTTCATCCATCGCCCCCAAACTTGGCGTGATTCCTTTCTCCACCCAATGCAAATGTCCGTCTCTTTCCTTTTGCGTATACTGAGTCCATACGGGCTCTTGGTTCGCAAACGCAAACTTAACACATTACCATACATTACCAACCCACGCAGCCTTGTCCATTGCAACAATGAAGCAATTCCAGCTGCCGGGTGGCAGGAGATTCAGCGAATCCATGATCCGTGCCATGCGCACCACCCGTAAGCCCCGCGCCAACTTGGCCAGGCGCACCAAGCGCAAGACCTCGGGCCGTGCGCGAATGCGCCACCAGATTCGGACCGCTCTTGAGCTGCACCAAGGGCTGCATATGGGAGGCAACATAATCAGCCTACTTCCAACATCATCTCCCAAGAAATTCTATATCCCAGAAGCCACTTTAAAGACTCTTCCAAACAAATCAACAGTACAAAGCCGCCCAACAAACAAACACCACATCGCCGTTGGTGAGAGCATCACCAAGCAGCCGTCGAAGAGCCTGGGATGGAAGCTGCCAAGAGTTCGATGAAGGAGAAGACGACCACTGTGAAGTCTAACCAGTTCCTGATCATGATGTTGAGAGGTTGTTTGAGACCTGAACTGGTCTCTGATTTTAGTGGTACGGTACACCTATATATATATATGGGTTGGGCAAGATACTGTATAGGGCTGTGAAACACCTCTCCAGGTGTGATGTCCATACATTCACAGCAGGGGTGGCAATTGCCGGGTTGCTGGGACATATATTGATCTCATTGAAGTTCGTTGAGTGCATGTCATTGACTGGAAAGAATGCTGCAGGAAACAATGACAATGACTATCTGGCTATCCTCCTTCAGAACTTGTGCCTCTTGCATTCTCCGGGGCTTTCGAGTCCATCATTATAAAAGGCTCAGAGCACGGACCAAACCCTAACAAATTCCGTGCTTTTCAATAAGGTGTGAGGTCTTTTTAAGCACCAAACAAGGAACAGGAACAACATGTTCCTGTTGAACAAGAAAAACAGACTATACATGACGTCTACTATATAGGGAGGTCGTTCGTCCGGGCTCGTCCGGGTGACGGTCGACGATCCCACAGAGCAGAAGGTCGGCCAATCACGGACCGGTGCGACGATTTTTTCCTCCCCCCAAAAAACCTGCGCAGGAATTTTGATGGAACGTTTGTTTACAAAGATGGGGGTCACATGTTAGATAAATATTCCATATACATGGATGCTCTGGGGAACGGTTCATCGACTTCGCACTGCGCCGCGCCCACACGTGTAGCCGGTCGCCCGGCTCAGCCGAGTTTCAATGCCAACTTGAAGAAGGAGATGTCGTAGACAAACCTGAGATCAACTCCTGGACAGGGCCCCTCAAAAGAGGTATACCGAACCGTCGTCCGCGTCCACCTCTTCACTCTCCCAGGTTCGGTCACGAAGCAGTTCTGAAGGTCTTCTAGATAGGGGAGTGAAAATGAGCAACAAAAACACACAAAAGTTATAAGAAAGGAGTCAATGAGGATACTCTCAGGGCGTATCTTCTGACGTTTCCAAGTTTTGTGGCTTCTTGGACGTGTTGCTGGTATAGCAAATGGATCGAACCTTCGAAGTCAAGCCTCAAAGCCCAAGAATTTGGCTTTTAACGTTGAACATCGCTACAATATCGCTACACAGCACCACTCAGGTCCACTAGCTATATACATCCAGTTAGAGCATCCGCTACCACCATCTTACAGCAAGGCACAATCTCAGCACCATCTCTGCGAAGAACACCAAGGTGAATGCCACATCAAAGAAGTTGAGCACACTCTCTGCGCCTGGCTTTTCACTGCGCCAGGCACTCTCTCCGCACTATTCTCGTGGATTCGCAGAGCAGTGTCTCAGGGTTTGGAGGTTAAACCACTTGAGAAGAATCACAAACAAATCTGTTGAGGAAGGACAATGAACTCTTAAAACCCAGTCCTACAATCTCTCAAAATCTTCAGCTAAGCCTGTTTTTGCATGAACACATTCCATCTTCATCCATCTTCATCCCATCAAAGGATATCAAAGGACCCCCACCAAATTCACACCTGAAATTCTGGCATTGACCTCTAAGAGCCCGAACTTCTGTTCCGAAAAACCCACACCGACGTTCGTCACGGCCGACGGCACCGGCCTGGCCACCCGTCCGAGGCCGGCTGGTTCCGACCCGGGTAGGCGATGCTGAAGCCGATGTCCAGGCCACGGTACTGCCTAGCAAGCACGAGGGGGTTAACCATGAGAGCGAAGCAACCTGGAAACGACCCGAGCTTCCCGAGCGAACGGTTTCCCATGGTTTCCCCATGCCCATGCAGCGACCCGACCTGGTTAGTGGACGGACGTCCTTTTTCTTCTCCCAAGGCGACGAAGGATCCATTTCCACATTGACTAAACCATCCCACTATAGGCAAATAATATCGGCAAAGATGAGAATCCCATGGAGTGTGTCAGAGGTGGATTTTTGGGAGGGGCCAGAAGAAAGCTGGCTCACCCCCGCGAAGTTGGGAGGTGGGAGGTGGGAGGTGAAGATCACGGGTAACATCCAAGAACCGTCGAATTTGACGGATCTTTGTTCAGTTGAAAGTGGGGTGAGACTCGCCACTTGGTGGGTTTGGTTGGGGTTCCAAACGCCAAACGCGTTTTGGCAAAAGCGCTTGTTCATAGTGTTTGACAGCTCTTTGGCCGCTGTGAAAAAGTGTTGGGTGTGTGGGGGTGCTCGTCAGAAACCTCCACTGGATGTGTCAGGCATTGAGCGGTGTGTTTTCACACCTGCATGTTGAGGGTTTTGAAGGCCAAATGAACACCACAACAACAGCAAGTCAGGAACCAGGACCTTCAAACTGATCTCAAACTGGATTCTCCAAGTGACATCTTTAGGGACGAGTCGTGACCTCATTCTGGGATCTCAAGTTCGGTCACTTTGAAGGTCCTGGAAGTCTTCTTTTTGTGGCTCACACCTTTGGGGCTTTAAGTCACTCAGAATCTGCCGCTGTTTGGATTAAAAACGGTTCCGCAGCTTCTGTCGCTAGAAGCCCCAAGCCAGTCAAGACACCTGCTGAATTTGTAAAAAAGTATGGCCGGGCTACTGGATTGATACATCAATTGTCGGCATCACATAGAAGTCGTACCAAGCCCCTCCAAGTTTTTGGGACACTAATGTATAGACTCTTGATGAATAATAAGCCCTCTCCAAATTGAATTGAACAGCCTCTTCATTATTTGGTTAGTTTCTTAAGTCAAGAGATGAGTATTACATGAAGTGCCACAAGTGGTTTCTGTTTTTTTTTGTTTTTTTTTTTCCGGCGCCTTCTTGCTCAGTTAAATTCGGCTCGCCGGGTCTGCGGTGGATGTTCCGGTCGGTCAAAGCGTTCCACGGATTGGTGAATCGTGGGGGACAAAAATCCAACCCGCAATCTTTAGTGGGGGAACCAATCATACCAATCACCCCCCCCCAACAAAAATGTGTTACAAGTTTACAAGCAATTTATTATTGACTGGTAGGTACCCCCAATGATGAAGGGGCCGAACTTTAGAATGAAAAGGTGCACTGCTGCAGCCATGACCACGACGTTGCCCAGGATCAGGAGCGAGATGAACATCTCAAAGATGTCCTGCCAGGTTTAACATCCGGGGAATTCATGAGGATTCACACTTGAACAAACCACTGGTTCGAACCAGAAACCAGGGACACTCTATGAACATCAAACCTCCACCATCCATGAGCTCAAATACATTAAAAATCCGGGAAAGCTCCGGGTAAGCCTTGAGACATGCCGCCAACCAGAACATCTAGAAAACACCAAGTACTGAGCTAAACATCACAGAAAACCAGATGCGACTTCATCTGAAAATCTCTTCCACTCCTCAAAACCATTCAAAACCTCCCATGTTCCCACCCTTTCTTTCTGTTTTTGTTGAGTGGATCATGGGCTGCCTCTAGTCAAGAAACCCGCCCCACCGTACGGTGAACCCGGATCAAAGCTGATGCCTCCCACTCAGGCGAGCTCGGTCCGTCTCGATGATCATCTGCAGCTGCGCGCGGCAGGTCCTGCGGCTGCGCGCGGGATCTTCACCTGGCGTCGGGTCCGACGTGCGGAAAAAAAACGGTCGGTCACTCAGTTGGGTGGGTTGGTTGAGTGGTTGGGTGGGTGTGTGGGTTGTTTTTTTTTCGTTTGGTGGAACCGACCCAAAGCCCAAAGCAAGTGTGGGGTCTTGCGGCTTGAAGGTTTCAGTGATTGAATTCTGATGTCGTGGAACTGGAAGATAAAGCTGAAAAACGGCTCCGTTGCACAGCTCGGGTTTGGCTTTTGGACCCAGTCTGTACTGTCACTATAGAACCCGAACCCTCTGCCGTCAAGAACGTATCAGAACTGGTGTGATTTCACATCCGAAAAACCCCTGACTTTGAAGCAGAAGAAAGAAGGGCACAAATGCACCAGATCTGCAAAGAACATCCTGCACACATCAGTGTCGGAAAGCCATCGTTCCAGGGAAAGCTTCCATGAAATTCACATCATCCCAGAGTAGATCGAATCCAGAAGTTTTAAGATCCTTTCTTCTGGTGGGAAGAACAGTTGGGTGTTCTAGACACGAAGGCGAACCCATGGAAAGAGGAACCCAGGTCGACCGAAGATTGAGACCACACCTATATCCATTGGAGGGTCCGCGATCTATCTATTGCCTGCTGGTCTAAACTTGCTTCACGTCAATGATTTTTGCTTATTTGTTGATATATGTGGAGCATCTTTTCCACACTTTCGAGCTGTTTTTTCCACACTTTTTCCACGTGTTTTAGCTGTTGTTTTCCACACTT